GACGCCTGTTAGGAAAGTCACGTGATTATGTCACCTTGCACATTGGCTAGGACCTGCACGAGTCACTTTTGAATCCAAGGTGCAGGCTGGCAAATATTTATGCCGATGGCTTCTGTGATCGAAATCTTCCAAGTATGAAATGTCGGCAAGATTTTTTGTACTTTTCAAGCATGTATGGAAGATGTTGCTGTAATCACGTGATTTTTGATGTCCAGTAAATGGCCATATTCTAGGCCTGCTGGCGACATAAACCTTACTCGTGGCCTTTAGATATAGAGCAGCGAATATCGGCAACCATGTTAGTTGCAAGTGGATTTGTGGAAGTGCCGTTCACATCGGTCGTTTGGACAGTCCCCATCCTGTCCTGGTGTAATTATTCTAGTGAGTCCACACCTTACTACCGTTCTATTCCTCGATAGTCGCGTCATCCAATGAATTACGTGACAACCATTCTCTCACTATTCAGCGAAATGGATCATCAGTTGGCCGAGGGTCGGTCACTGCGATTTTGGAGTCTTGGTTAATTAAAAAGATGAGAGTCAACTATTCTTCAAATTTGCGGATCACACCTAAATTGTTCCAAGGTGCACCAAAATTTCCCAGCGAAAAAAATAATTTTTATTTATTCTAACACCAACATAACTATTCAGCTTGCTTGAAATCTCGACCAAGCTTGTAACTTAGTCAGTTGGCCTAACGGAGCTGCTGTTTCGAAAGCGGGACGCTTCCAAGTGATAGGTCCACAAAATGTTTTCCAATCTTTTCCGAAAGTGATTATCTTTGTCCCGTTTTCCATGAAACATCTAAGTTTACTAGTGAAGCATTCTATAAGCCAGATGAAAGCCTACCCTGAAACCGCATTCGACAGGATTGCATGATTCATACCAGGACCGTTCGTCGATTGAAAGGGAAGTTTCCCTTCTTCCATAGCCGCACAAAAAGCTGTCTGCTTTCATGTTTTGGCTGGGCATGTGGCGAACCAAAAGCTAGCGACGTAGCCAGCCCGATTCTGCCTTTTGGCTGCCTTTTTGCGCTCCCTCCTAAGCTAGCATCAGTTGGATTCAGCTCAGGTGACCTTTCTGTTTCACTTTCCAAGATGATCCGATATGGTTTGCTCTGGTTCGCCTGACTCAGCTATATCCAAGACACGGGGTTTGAATACATATACGTCGTACAACCATAGGACCTAGAAGACGACCGGAACCATGGATCTCATTCTGTGACCTGTGTGCCATCCGCAGATGTGTACTTATGGATGGCTGTGAGGAAACGCAATGTATGGATTGAATGGGCGTAAAGCTGTGCACCAGCTAGTATGTTGTATATGGGCATCAAACGCGAGAACTTGGTGCGAATTTCTGCCGGTAAGCACACAATCAGACCTGTCATTTCAAGCCTCCCAATCAAAGTAGTCAAGCTGGTAGGCCAGCCGGCTAACGCGAATCAAGGTCTGCTGTTGGAGCGCCAAAACCCAGTAGGAAGTACGAAATTGTGCGAGAGGTTTCCAGTCCGCTAGCACCAGACCGCATACATCTGCAGGATGCGGAGGCTTCTAATCTCTCGGTTTCAGTTTGGCAAATAAGAGGAGGGAAATAGAATTTTTGAACACTTGGACTAATATGGACGGCGGTATTGACTGTAGCGGTGATTTCTGAGTTAGTTATCATGTGTCATGTCATCGCCGAAAGTCATCAGGCGCATCAGGAATGAATGTGATTCGCCTTTAGGGCTCTCATTCATTTGCTCTTATCAAAAGCGCTCTCATTTGGGAGATATCTTCTTTGCTTAACAGACTAATGATGTGCTGCCGGACAGCTTAGGTAGACACCAAAAGTCATTCATATACAATCGTCTTACTGATCTGCTGTAACCCCACTAGAAATGAAGTTCCACCAATCGCCATGATGAGAACATCCGAGAATAGCTAGCACATATGATGTTAACCGTTTTGTTGAATGACACTTACTCAACTCATACTTGAGCTCAGGTGACAGACAAAGGGACAATACAGCAGCCCTCAAGAATAAGCTTACGTTAGATTGGTTTCAGTCATCAAAACATACTAGGGTTAGTTCATAGATTTCACGCAACTATTCGGTTCTACCTAAAAAACCCGGTTGGTCATGTGGAGTGCAGTTTGATCAGTAGATATTCTTCAACTTAGATACCTTGTTTGCTCTTCAGTTTTAATCTCCTTTGCAACCAGATGTGAAAGTTTTGGCCTGATCTCGAAAAGTGTTCTAGTATCCGAACCTACGTAAGCATCCGGTCACTATTGGAGTCCATAACTTGGTCCACATCGAGCCTTTCTCCAGCGTCGATAATGCAGTCTTGTCGCTCAGCTTCCCTAGACCAGGAAACTAACGGTTCGACCAAAAAACGCTAGGAGAATAGGCTCGTGCTCAATATCTCCTACTGCTACCAACGCGCTCTCTAAAAATTAAGCCGTACATTTCAAAACAACCTTGTGAATTGTTGATTGTGACCGTAATCCGAAGTTGTGTGCGTTTAGACGCCCATCTGATTGGGATCCGATCTGTTTGTGAAGATTCACGTAGCAACAATTCTGACAACAGTTTTACACACCAGAGCTGGACTTTGTCAGTTTCCAAAGCCTTATTTAAGTGTAGCAAGCATTTCCCAACGTTGGTTATATCACATTTGTGAGATAAAAGTCTGCATGGAGTAGATCAATAAAAAACTGCTCCACTATCCGGTTCATCGAATTGCGGTGCGACTCACAATGCAGCTATGGCCACGCAAGAAGCCATCCAAATGCAGTTGTGTCAATTGCGTTGTATTCGGAAACGAAATGATACAGTCTAGTTTCGTCCACTTCTGAAGAACTTGTGCAAAAAATACACTGGTTTGAAGGTGAGTGTTTTCTGTACATCACCAAGTCCAGCAGTTAGTGTTGCTTCGTTCTGTACACATGAGTACGAGGCTCACTTACTCAGATTCGGCCTTGGTAAGATCAGAGTGACTTCCTTCCACCAGAATGGAAGATAGCCGAATTTGTGGGGGTGCTTTGTGGTGCTTTGAAGAAAAATTATCCTTAAAATGTGATCTGTGTAGTTTCAAGAAGCAGAAGAATGTAAACATCAATAAATAAGGAAAAGGTCAAAATGTACGTTTTGGCGATCGTGTGCAGCGCAGAAAGCTCTCAGTGCAATTGACAAACATGTTTCTTAATAGGAAACAGATTTCACAATTTTTAATCTTCTGAATTCCAATAATTGTCTGACCGAACGTCAAGCTGACGTTTATAGGCTTACTTTTAACCCATTCATGGAATCGGCAACTCTCTCGTACAGTAAGGCAAATTCACGAATTGCCATTACTGAGAAAAGGAATATCTATCCTTGGAGGGATATCTTTTGAAGGTTGCTGTTTGTCGTAAGGGATACAAAGGCGATGATGAGTTGAATCGTTTCAGAACTGCTGTCCTGAAATGAAAGCTTGCAATGGCCTATTAACCCCGATTAGCAGCAGCTGCTGTCCCCACGCCGCAGGTTGCACCTACGGTTTGGTACACGCACATAAAATACGGTTCAACTTGAGTAATCAAGCAAACACCGTCATTTGTAATTGAGGAGGTTACTGGTAACTCAGTTCGCAATAATTTCCGACGGTTGGAGTTCAGAGAACAAGGTTGTTTACCACCTGTGTTAAATATTTTATTGAACAGACCGGAAGGTAAGAAAAATTGGTGCAGCTGCCAAAGGATATTATGATCGGTTGTCTATTATTTTCACACGAAAATTTAGGTCATCAGTTCGCCTTAGTGAAAGCGATGGTCTTGGCAAGTGAAAGGGGCGCGAGATGGGTTTAATAGAAGGGTAGCACTTCTGAACAAATCTATTCAGTTGACGTCTACAAATTGACTCTGAATTTGCTCACTACACAATAAGGGCAATCAAATCAACCGGTGAGGACTCAGAAACGCCCATCAGATTATCTTACCAGGAAACAGGACTTAATGTGGCGGTGGACATCAAGCGTCATTGCAGGGGATTCGAAGAGGTCGCCTCAAGATCACTTAGATATCACCATTCAGAGTTCATTCAGTAAATCGATGTGAATTCTCAACCTAACAAGTAACAATGATTCAAAGTCAGCCAGCTGGAATAGACACCTCCGAAACCCGTAAGCTGGCAGTATTCACGCATTGCTACCCTTAATTCACTGATGATATCACTTTGACTGGTGATGGAAGCGCCTCCAACCACAGTCCACAGCTTAACAGACAAATCCAAAGACACGTTGTGTCGTTCAGAAAGGCTGAAAATAAGGTGGCACCATGTTATAAAGAAAAATTCACCACTCACCCATCCGATATCGGTGGGATGCGTACACCAGAGGACGAAATAACATGAGTTGACTGGTATCTACATTTGACATGTTAACATTCAGGGTTTGCTCGATTGATCAAGGTAGGTCAGCTACTGCAGCTCAGGTAAAGAAGTCACTTTTTTGTTAATATTGTTCACTAGCACTGAAAACATTCCGGTTGACGCAGATATGTAAACCACACCTTTTTAAATTCGCTGGTTTCGGCTGACATAACCGATCCTTCGTGCTCATTTCGGAAGTGACGGGCAAATATCTCTTTCGTTTAATAACACGTTCTTCTAGTTTCCCACAAGCCACACTCTCTAACTTTGGCCAATGAAGCCTTTCTTATGGAAATGGTGAATGCCAGTCGAGTCATGTTCCTATTGCACTTCTGTTACTTTGCCACTAACGGTGGTCATCCAGTGGTAGTTTGAGTTTATAACGTCAATCTAAATTCATTCAGCCCAATCGCATACCATACAGCATACGATGCCTCTGTCTTACTCACCTGCACATTATCAAAAGGCTTTTGAGACTATCTTTATCGACGTATTTTCCAAGTGACTCTTCCAACTTTCATCTCATTATGGAAATAGTTCTTGATGCTACCAACAAAGTTTCGATGACGAAAAGTGCACACTCGCCTTGTAATGAATGATATTTTATCAGAATCTGTCTACTTCCGGGGAAAATGGGGTAAATTCCAAACCAGCAGAATAACGGCGCCTTTTAGGCAATTCCATCTTTTCTTTCGTAACAGAGTACATGAAAACGGGGCCATGAAGGTTTTCAAAGGGCTCACGAGTTCGAGGTTTGAAACCGATAAAAGTGATATCTTTCAGCTGGAACAATAACTGCACCCGACGGGATGGTGTCCGTTTGCTGAACGTTACAAGGTCCCTTCGCTGTAGTGGTGGATAATCCAAATTTTCTTGCTGAACTTTTAATTGATAGTGAGGTGACACTTGCGGGATATGACTCCACTCCTGAGGCACGATCGGACTTGTTGGGAAGTCTATCTGGGAGTGCCATTTCGGTATACTCAAGGTATCTGGATTCACCTGGAATTCCATATGAGACATTGGGCGATGTAAGCCGACGTTGGAAGGTTCCAATGTGTTTGAGTTCCCCAAACCACGTATGTTCATTAAACTTGGATTTTGGATGGCTGTGCTGATAACCGCGGTAAACTCAGCTGCATCACTCGCTTGTTTGAACTTGTACAATTCGCAATACTTCAGTCCACACTCGGGACGCACGTTTAACACGACGAATTGCGGAGCGAAACTGCTTTCATAAACAGCTTCAATTTCATGGTACCCAAGTCCAGAATGGAACATCGCTTTTTTTCTTGAAGCATTCGGCTCGAGTAGAAATCGATTTTCCAGAGCAGTGATCGCTCCATAAACAGACCGCTCCTTGTAATGAGCTTTCACAAAGTCCTCCAAATCACTTGATGACAAAGTGCGGCTTGGATCAAACTGCTTCCGACAAACAGCGTGAACTGGAGTTCGAAAATATAATCTCTGATTTGTTTCCGTGTGCACGATCTGACCATCCACATATTTAGAGCCGCGCGGCAAGTGTGGGTTGAGAGCTTTATTTGCTTTTGACATTTACTCCAAACATCGGTCAATTATTCGTGGACTGTTCATTTATTGACCGACTCTTGTACCGTCGAAACCTTCCGAACCGCAGGTAGATGAATTACCTTTGCCTGAAAAGAACTTTCACTGCATGTTTCGAGACCTAGGTGTTTGAATATGAACCAATCCGGCAGCGTGCTGTACTTGGAAGACACACACGATTATCGATTTTGTCGTACGTGTTGTGATGTCACGTGGAGATTAACATGCAGTCCTGGAGGCTTTTTGTGTAGCATAAATGACGAATAAGCGTCATTTCGATCTTTTTATTTCCCATCCATTGACTACTCAGAATTGCAAAGGTAAACTTTGAGTATTTATTGATCTGGCGTTCTTCATAAGATCAGAGGCCTGTTGTTACTCACGAAGCCCTCAGATGAATCGCTTTGTGACGTCTCAAAGTCCTGAGCCCATCAAAAATGACAGGTACAAGGCAGATCTACTTAAACTGCAATTGTACTATGCACTTGAGTTGAGATGGTGCGGCAGAAATTGAACTATTTGGTACTAGTTCTCTTGAAAAGAATCCCTAACATCTAATATGCGTGCGGTATTCTCCATAGCAGACCATAAAACTAAAATGTGCCCCATCAAGTTGATTGCCGCTTGGGTTTGTGTGAAAATCACTCCCCTACACCCAGTCCTCCGCCGGTAGGTTAACAGGTTATACTTTATCATCATCACCTTCGTCTTCAGCTGCAGAAACCATTTATTTGCCATATAGTCGTTATTGCTGCCACAGTTCCGTTCACCGATGATCTGAGGAGGTGGGTGGAGAAGCTGCACACTGAAGGCTGCAGCTGATACAGGTGATTCGTCAATACAGGGTTGTCATAGGACTTTTCACTAGTGATGTCAGGAGTGGAAGCTATGCACCTAAGACACCAGGTTGGATGCATGAGCATTTTTGAGGGCGCGACTAGGCTCTGTCTGTTATTGATTTTACCCCCTCTTGATCCCCATCCGGAGAAATGGCAACGACTGTCACGGCTGAGATCTAGATGATAGCTTTGATACTTCACTGCCAAGTTTGTGTTTGGTACCCCATGGCCCGTTTGCACTCTTCGCTTGGGCCCTTCGAGAAGGCGGTCAACCGGTATCCGGAACGTCACCCAGCCAGCTCAACCTATCGAGCGTGATAGGTTCATTTACCGTGGACGAATTATTCCCTCCGAAAACCACCCAATGTACTTCAGCATTACTAATCCGGTGTTCCTACCGGACCCCTACAGTGATCCAAAGACATTGAACCTTTCTGGCGTCCTCAGCGCGCAGTGACCAGGGTTCTGACCCATCCATTCTCGAGGGAAGGCAGCACTGTTGCTTCCAAAGATATGGACTTGCCGGTAGTGTGAGGGGAAGACCTTACTGTCTTTGCACTCTCATCACAAAGGACAGTACGAATTAACCTCCGGATTACTCGTAGCGGTCGGGCGGGCTGGTCCCTTTTGGCCTTCCTGGCATAGTTGTATCTCGTAAAACCAACTGCCAGACTTATAGCCCGCGAGGTCATTGCAATACTCAAGCCTAACCACCAAATCAAAGTAGCAGCTTTAGGTTATATTCTGATCGATGAATCCATTTAAAAAGATGCAGCTTCTTTTCATCTTTTGATATAACCAATTTGGTTGAGTCCACCAAGCTAGAGTGAGGTTTCAGAGCAGGGTCTGCTGGAACGAAGCTGGCTAACTCAAAATGAAAATACACACGAATTCCCACCGTTAACCATCAGATCAAAGTATATTCACGTAGCTTTCAAATCTTTAAAGCTGCTAAAAGCTGCATTTTATACTTTGGGTTTGGAGTTGCCTCACGCAGAAATCCAAGGCAGTCAGTGCCGGTAATCTTGGTTCTCTGTTTCAAGCATTCTGTATCACTAGCTGCAGTAGTCTTTCTTTCTGGCAGTCAGCCACCGCTGGGATTCTGCTAAACTTCAGTGCTTTGGATCGGCTCAAAATAATTTTCACAAGATCAAAACGGTTCTTCCCATGATCTCTGGATTTGCTTTTCTCTAAGCGAGTCGAATGAACATAAAATATGCATAGACTTTTATGCAGCTTTTAAGATGCACAATGTTCGCAATTACCCTGCAATTTTTAACTCATACCACGGAAATATAACTAATCCAATATGCCGGATTTCTGTGCCGATCTTAATCCGTCAACTGACACGACACACATAGACGATCCCAGCCGACTTAGTCGAAGTCTCCAAATTCTCAGTGTCACCGCAGATTTTCTTGCTCACTTCAACTTACAGCTCTTCTTGATCAGCTCCGAAGAAGGATCACTCATTTGCAACAGCGTAACTGGTCTTTCGTTATCATTGTGTCTTTGATCGAACACTGTCTATCGACCATAGAAACTGACAACGATGTATGTACCTCAGATCTAGCTCATGAAAAAGAAGCATACTGGTTTTATCGCGATATTATTTCGGCTGTCCTGTAAGACGTCTGCAGTATGGAAACGACCGAATATTGCTAAGAACAAGCTTGTTTTCCACAAACACAATCATAATGTTAAAAATTAAAATGACTCTGTTAGGAGACTCTCACTTTACAAACCCAAACTGGAACGAAAACAGAAGACCTCTTGTTGAGATCACAGGATGTGTGCTATTTCAGTGATGAGATTCCTCAAAAATATTTGCATCCATTTCTACGTGTATTTCTACTTTTTTTTTCATACAGCTAGGTTTCGATTTCGCACCCTGGTTTATTTATCAAGGTCATGTAACATATTACTCTTCCGGTGCCTAGCTGCCCACCACCCGAAGGAAGCAAGAGGGTTGAGATACTACCAGTTTGCTCAAGTTTACACAAGACGAGTCAAGCAGTCGGGTTTGAACCATAAACCTTCTGTCAGGAGCTTGGCACCTTGATCACTGAACCATCTTGATCTCATGGAACAGCCAAAAAAGACGTTTCTCGATTAACTGAATGGCTGCCCGATATCACTTTTTTTAAGCTTTGCTCCACTGGTTTGCTAGCTTACTTGCTTACTGCTTAGTGCAACCTACGAAGGAGTTTAGCAAGCAGGAGAGTGGGATTTTTGCAAAGGCATTCTGAGCAATCTGTTTCCCAAAGCGATCTCTTCTTCCCGTATATTATAATTGCTGATCAAACAACTTTCTCCGTATAGCCCACCTTCGCCCGGGAGTTACAAACACTTCAAGACAATCTCGGCAAAACTCTCCTTGATTCATTAGCCGAGATGTCTGACAAACTTTAAATACGTTGCGGTGTTTGCTTTCTAGTCTTGTCATACGAGAACATCGTCACCCTTCTTCCTCATAGAATTGACAACACAAAAATTAGCCGAATCCCATTAAATAACTGTGTTTGAGGGAGGAATAAATTGCGTTCATTCAGATTGGGTGTGCTCCAATGCGGGTTTGGAGACTGCTTCCAAATTTTCTACAGAATAAAGCAACGTGCGTACAAAATCATTCCCACAACTTCTGGGTGCAGGTGGATTTGTTCTACTTAGTAACGAAATCAAAACTGAGTGGAAGCACCCACATATTTTTCCACTGGGATGTCTTCCTGTAAGCGAAACCAGTCCACCCTGAAAACTAAGGAGCATCCTCATTTGCAACCATCAGCAGTGCTCATCTCACGAAATTCCAGGAATTTTCGAACCCGCGACCCTAACCGTTCGGCCACGAGCTGCAGTGTATTATTTTACATAGTCAACTAACTCATTCCTTATCATATAGCCTGTCTAACCAAAAGTCATAACAACGTTTCTTATATTAAATATATACATATATATTAAATTAATATTAACATCACGAAGGAAGCATCAGTATCACGTTAGAAATTTGTGATGCTTGTGATGTTGTGTACCTCTTCAAGTGCTTGTTATGTATCAATAATTAGCCTTTGAAGGTAATTCACTCTACATGCTTGGAATGAAACCGATATTGGTGAGAAGTTTGAGGTTATCCCTTGAATAGCCGGACCACACGGAGCATTTCTAGGTAAGGGTCAACCTTGTAAGAGACAGACTTTGCCATACAAAGTCTGTTCATCATTTCGTTTTGTAATATTCTAACCGCCTTCTTACTTTATTCAAACGTGTATCCTAGATACAGTCGCCCTGAAAAGTTGGAAAATAAACGGCGCCAAATGGCGCCACCAACTTTTTGTTTTGAACTAAATGCCGAATTCGGCTTATTGGCATCTGCTTCCACTTTTCCATAGCTCTCAGCATTGTTCAGATATGCACATGCCCTAGTGGTCGAATATCATTTCAAGCTAAAGTTTTCTTTCACACCAATAATCATGACAAAATACTGATTTGAGTTCCTGTGACCCAGATGTTACTTAAAAGTCCTAAGTAAACTGCTAGGACCTTGATCCTGGTCGGCCTGTTCCAAGTTTGGAATAGTTGTCAATGTGAATACTATTCGAACAACCTCGGGTCTGTGTGTAAGGCATCAAGTGTGATTGACAACAAGCTTCGGTTGTCGGGATGCGCAGTTTCCAACTCTTGAACTGCTCCCCCTTCCATCATCTTTCTGGTCAGTGAGATAAGTGAATCCGAGTTTCTGGAGCCTATAGGTAGCACTGGAGTTCCGGGGTTCAAACTCCAGACGTCTGATAGGTGAGACAAACTTGATACCATTACCCCAACAGAGTCTGCTGTATGTTTCTAAATCATTATATTCGAACAGGCGCAACTGTGTGTTTTAATGACTGTAAACAATTTGTCCGGCACTTCAGACGTATTAGCAGTACTTCTGGCTGTATCGATCGTCGTTCGCGTCTAGATTCCAAAAAGCTCTATTCCTAGTGATAGCAAGAAACAATCCAGAAGGTCGACAGCATCAACCGCCGAAAAAAAGACCTTAATTTTTGGTAATTTCGGCACAAGACGAACACCAAACTACTAACGTGCATCCGCGTTAGAGTGTATTTACACAGTGACTCGAGGTAAGCTTGTTCCGTCTGCGGTAGTGAACTA